CTCAGCAAGTATGTGGGGTTGACATTTTGGTCAGAAATTTCTGGCCTAACAGGAGAATACAGTTTGAGTTTTATATTACAAGTGGCCTTTTTTCCCCAACCTAAAACATCCTGGGTCAAATAAGACCAAGATAATGAAGCATCCTGAAAAGAAACAGGACACCTACCTTTTGAGTCTCTGGCCAGAGCCCTTAATTAGGAACAAAAAAGGCCACTTCTTTAGCCACATCCATTTATCAAGAACAGAGGAGCCTTGTATTTTAAATTACATAGGTGCCCTAGAACCCTGACTGACCCAGACTCTTACTTGCCTTATTATTCAAGACCAGCACTGTAAACCGTTTTGAAGAGGCCATGCATGTTTCTCTGACTGCTGTCATTTCAAGTAATCAGTCCTCAGAAAGTATGTGTCATGCAAATATGATGGTTCCTCTCTCTCTGTGAATCATATTTTTCAGAAACTTCTCTTCTAGGTATTTCTACTTAAATCCTCAGTTTTTTTTTGCAGGAACTTTAAATTTTCATTATTTTTAACCAGATTTTTCATTATTACTCAAGCTAGAGTTTGTATAAGCAAGGTTTATTGAATAATCACCTATATTCAAACATTTTTTCACCCAGAAAAGTAAAACAAACAAATAAAAAACAACAAAAAATAGTGCTTTGTTTTTGGTGGCAAAATCTTCTCAGTGGTTAAATTAAAATCATGAACCTGTCCAAAACAGAATAATGCCACTGATTAAGCCAGTCTTAATCTCACTTTTATTTTGGAGAAACAGTGAATTGAAATCAAAATCAAATTCAAAGTGGAATGTAGACCCATTAGCACCAGTTTCATATTCTAGTTAAAATATGTACTAATAATGCCAGTAGTACCCATGAGTAGCCTTTATCTTTGACACCACAGTGACTTTTTATTTTGCCTTGTATTGTAGTTTCACCTGCATAGGACAATGTGAGACTTGTCAAGTTGTTGTCATTCATGACGAAACATTTAATAGGGAGTATTTTCACTATCATGATTACTGAAAAACAGACTTGATTGTAATTCATTAAGATAATACAAAGTATGACACTTAAGAAAGGAAAAGAGATTTCTTATCCAAATCAATATCAAGCCAATCATTGTTAGTTGACAGTCAAGTGTGCAGGTAGAGAAACTATTAATTGATATTTGCTTATTCTTGAATATGCAAAGACTGTATATATTTGAGAAAACTTAGAGCATTGTAAAATTTAAAAATGTTTCTACATTGCATGATATAATCTAATTAGAGTTCATTAGTGAAAATAATAAACATCGTAACAACTAAAATGTTAAAAATATTCCTGATGGATTATTTCTCATTATTATAGGTAATGAGATCCTGCTTTTGTTGTTGTTGCACTTAGGTTTGTTTATAGTAAATGTTAGAATGGAGTGATGTGCTAAGTTGTATTTGGAGAGTTCTTATGATCCTAAATCAGTTCCAGTTAATACTTGATGAATTTAAAGAGATTTTATTACAATGGAATTTGATCATTCTTGTATTCAAATTGGAGATTCACTTGGAAGATACTGTTAACACCTGACTTGCCATAGCAAGTTTTAGGTCCTTAATAAAAGACTTGAATTTGAATAGGAAAACAGCTGGAAACAGAAACATTTCCATGAGGAGTCCATGCTTTTCCAGTCCACTTTACCCTCTTAGTGGTATGAAACCCAAATATATTCATTCAACCCTAAGCACAAGATGCAAAAGAATAATGAAATTAAAATCAAACAAGTTGCTAAAACCCAGACTGGTTCTTACAGCCATGTTACCTCAGTCAGCTTCCTTGTTCTCTGTTCCAGGACATAAAATAGGACAAGGAGTAAGCTTTTAGTGTCTCCTCAGGAAGTGGTCCTCTACTTGAAGCTACTCTTGGCTCATGGTGACATTTGGCTCAGCTTTATCTTCTACCTGCTATTTGAAGTGGGGAATTGTTTTCTCTATCTATACACTCCAGTTCTGCTGAAACTGCCATGTCTACTAGATTGCTTCTCACTTTTTCAATAAAACAGTAGAGTGTATATTGTAAATCAGGTACATACCAGGTAAGAGACATCAAATACATCCCAATGTCAAAGCAGCCACCAATCATTCTTTTTTAAAAAACAATATTCACATTATGTCTGCTTTTTTAAGATTTTATTTATTTATTTTTAGAGAGAGGAAGGGAGGGAGAAAGAGAGAGAAAAATATCAACATGTGACAGAAACATTGATTGGTTGCCTTTCACATGTCCCCAACTGGCTGGGCACCTGGCCTGCAACCCAGGCTGTGACTGTGATTGGGAATTGAATCATTGGCTTTTTGGTGTGCAGGTTGGCACTCAATTCCCTGAGCCACACCAGCCAGGGCTAAATCATTCTTGTGGGCCATTAAAAATCAGTGGCCAAACTTATGTCAACTTTGGATTCTGAGGACATTATGCTACATTACCATGGCAATCATCAGGATAGAATTTCTTTAAAAGAAAGATTGTAAATTGCTCATTAAAAGACTGGGTGAACAGCAGAAAATACAGTTTCATTGTGAGGAAAGGATAAGACCTCATGTGTTTGTGTGTGCATATTGAAAAGCCATTAATCATTGCCTTTACTTTCCTTCTTGGGAAAATGCACTGTTGGTCTGTAGGGAGGCAATATCTTTCCCTCTTGAAAACAAGCCACTCGAAACAGAGGACTTCTGCCAAGATGGAGGCATAGGTGGATATGCCGTGCCCTCTCACACAACCAAGTTTAGAGACAACTAAATATTAGCAATAGAAAACACAGCCAGAACACAGAAAATTGAACTTTTCGGAAGTCTGTTAACAACAAATTCTTCAGCCTGACCGGTAAGGGGCGAAACCAACAGCTGGTGGAGTGGGGTTGCACAGGAAAACTCGGTCAGACGAACTCAGGTGCTCAGAATCAAGGCGCAGGGTTGGACCTAGTGAGCGACCAGGCGAGCACCCAAGCGAGCGACCGCAGGGAAACAGCAAGGGAGCAGGGCTGTGGGTTGACTGTGGTCGCACATTTGTGTGCGGATAGACAAGCGAGGGAGTGGGCAGTTGGACCAGAACCCAGCGGGACCCCACAGCAAGCGGCAGGGAGGGCACCGTCATTTCCCTGCTCTGACCCCACCTCCACATACAGCGTCATAACCCAGCAACTCTGGTTGGCCCGGCCCAGGTGAACCACCAAAGCCTGTGCTCCTCACCCAGCGGCACAAAACAGCAGAGGGTGCCACCGTTTCCCCGCTCTGACCACGCCCCCACATACAGCTTCACAACCCAGGGACCTGGTACTCCAAGGCTCCGCTCCTCACTCATAAAGGGCACGAACAGACCAAAAATGGCTCAAGAAGATCTCAAAGCCCCAGAGCCTATAAATCTAAGCAATGAAGAAATAGCAAAACTCTCAGACGCACAGTTTAAAACACTGCTCATCAGGATCCTCACAGATCCTGATCTGCAGTTGATTATAGCCACAAATTAGAGAAACATATGAAGGCGAAACTAATTGAAATGAATGGAATTGCACAGGAAACCAATAGCAATGAAAAGGAAACTGGGACTCAAATCAATGGACTGGACCAGAAGAAAGCAAATAATGGCCAAACAGAAAAGAGTCAAGAAGCAAGAATTCAAAGAAATGAGGAGAGTCTTAGGAACCTCCAGGACATCTTTAAACGCTCCAACATCCAAATTATAGTGGTACCAGAAGGGGGAAAGGAACAGCCACCAGTGGAAAACTTATTTGAACAAATAACAAAGGAGAACTTCCCCAATCTGGCAAAGGAAATAGACTTCCAGGAAATCCAGGAAGCTCAGAGAGTCCCAAAGAAGTTGGACCCAAGAAGGAACACACCAAGGCACATCATAATTACATTAGCCAAAATTAAAATGAAGGAGAGAATCCCAGAAGCAGCAAGAGCTAAGGGGACAGTCACCTACAAAGGAGTCCCCATCAAACTGTCAGCAGATTTCTCAAAAGAGACCTTCCAGGCAAGAAGGGGCTGGAAAGAGGTATTCCAAGTCATGAAATCCAAAGACCTACAACCAAGATTGCTCTATCCAGCAAAACTTTCATTTAGAATGGAAGGACAGATAACGTACTTCTCAGATAAAATCAAATTCAAGGAGTTCATCATCACCAAGCCCTTATTATATGAAATGTTAAAGGGACTTATCTAAGAAAAAGAAGTTAAAGAAACATGAACAGTGAAAGGACAACAAACTCACAGTTATTAACAACCACACCTAAAATAAAAGCAAACTAAAAGGACAGCTAGATCAGGAGTGGAAATATAGAAATGAAGATCTCAAGGAGGGTTAGCAACAGGGGAGTGGGAGGAGGAGAAGGGGGAGAAGGTATAGAAAATAAGTAGCATAGACAGTAGATAGAAAATAGATGGGGGGGCAAGAATAGCATGGGAAATATAGAATCTAAAGAACTTGAGACACATGGTCATAAACTAAAGGGGGGTAATGGTGGGGATGGGGGGTAGGGTGGAGGGGAATGAAGGGGGGAATAGAACAACTGTAACAGCATAATCAATAAAGAAAAAGAAAAAGAAAAAGAAAAAGAAAAGAAGCCACTCGAAGGCCCTCGCTGGTGTAGTTCAATGGATTGAGCGCGGGCCTGCCAACCATACGCGCACGGTTCGATTCCCAGTCAGGGCACATGCCTTGGTTGCAGGCCAGTTCCCTGCAGGCCAGTTCCCAGCAGGGGGGGCACAAAAGGCAACCATACATTGATGTTTCTTTCCCTCTCTCCTTCCTCCCTTCCCCTCTAAAGATAAATAAATAAAATCTTAAAAAAAAAGAAGCCACTGGAAATGGTCAATGAAAAACCTGAAATGAAAAAAAATGCTTTTGTTTGTAAGATGTTAGAATCCCCACATTTACTAGATTGTTTTTTTAGACCTATTCTCTATTAACTCCTGTTTTCTCCTCCTCCTTTAGGAGCTGTGCAATTAGTTGTATTTGAAAATGTCTGACAGTCTGGATAATGAAGAGAAACCCCCAGCTCCCCCACTAAGGATGAATAGTAACAACCGGGATTCTTCAACAATCAACCACAGCTCTAAACCACTTCCCATGGCCCCTGAAGAGAAGAATAAGAAAGCCAGGCTCCGCTCTATCTTCCCAGGAGGAGGGGATAAAAGTAAAGTATCAGTGGCTGGGAATTGAATAGGGGCTAGTTTATTCTCTCACTGTCAGTTTTTCTTGGGTAGTCATTTCTTGGCATTGATTGCGTAGGACCTGCTTAACCTTTATGTCTACATCTTCAGAGGTTGCATTTTGTGAGAAGTTAATATTTGATTGCTGCTTGTTGTTTACAGAAAATTTACTTTTGTTTTGTTTACCTTTTACATAAAATTGAATTCATAATGTTAACACAGGGTAAATTGTAGGAATAGTACTTCTTGAGTATATAAACAGTGACTTTCTTTCTGATAATTTAGAGGAGAATTTACAGTAATCCTTTCTAAATTGCAAGTTCTCCTTGTAAGAAATTTGACTATAGGTGGATTTACTTCTGTATATCTTTTTGACAGCTGTGACACTTTTGAACTGAGTATGTGGGAGTCAGTCCAAGCTGCCACATTATTGTCTCTCTGACTATATCACAAGGTGGGAAGAAATTTCCAAATCATTTGTTTTTCTCTCATCTTCTGCCAGTTGTTCCCTACACAACCAGCCCTATTTCTACTGGATATCTCAATAGTATATTATCATTTATCCTTGTGTTGTTAGTAATACCATTTGGTGCTTAAATATCATATACTGACACTTTGTAACACTAGGGGATTTTAAATATCTGATAAATAATTGCCAGTTGTGTTAATTAGCATAAAGTTTAAACATGGCTTCTATAAATGTGACTACTGAGACAGAAGAGATTTTGTCTACAGGGACATTGTTACCATAAAAAGTTGCCAAAAGGGCAAAAAGGGTAATGTGTTTAGAAAAGAAAAGGGACATTCCTGATCTGCTCCTTCAAGGTAAACCAGATAGTTTGTATAGGTTGCTTTCATGGTGTTAATTAATCCAAAATTAGTACCATAAGGAAAGCTGAAACTCTCATTAAGGTCAGTATTGTCTCTTTATACCCACATCACTTAAGAGCTGCTTTATCCGTTGTGACATAATGATGGAAAAGATGGAAATTATGTTAAAAATCTGGATTAACACTTTCAAAGTAAGGGATCTTTGACGATGCAAGAGAAATTTTTGAAGACATGTTTTCAGACACTGAAGTGGGTCCAAAAATTTTTTTTTGCAAGGAAAAAGGGATAGTTTGAGAAACTACCCATGACCTGGAGACCAACTTTTATGTGGCAGTTGTGACAAAGAAAGAACTATTAGAGACTGAAGCTTCTATGTTATATCTCTCACAGTGAAGTGATTGAAGAAGTGGATTATGTGCCTGTACAAATCTTTGGCGCTGTTGAGACCTCCATGCTTTGGAGGTCATTGAACTATCTTACTTTCCCTTTTGAAGAGTAGGAGTCAACTGATGCTAGCGTGAGGTCAGCAAAAATAGGGAAGTTTACCTTCATGTTTTGTACCACTACTTCAGGTGGCCTCATAGTGAAATCATTACTACCATACAGAAAACTATGACCAAATCTTTCCAGAGGAAAAAACCCAGCCAAGTTTCTAGTATACTTGTGTGCAAACAGAAAAGCCTGGATGACTCCTTCTCTCCAAAAGGAATTGTTTGCAAATTACTTTCTTGTAGAAGTTTAAAACTATTTTAAATTTTGAATTCAAAATCCCACTGATTTTTCACAGTCCGTTTGGTACCTCAGATGTACTTGCCAATGTGCATCCTGATGTGAAGGGTATTTTTATAACTATTCTTATGTCTCACATACTCAAGCTCTCAGATCAGTGTTTGGTATGGTCTTTTAAGACATGTGCCAAATTTGTAATATAGCTTTGTTGTTGAAAATCTCACAAAGGTTCCTCTTTCTTAAGACCCTTGTGCATGGTATTCGTAAACCACCACTAATGCTATACTTTTAATAAAAGAGGCTTTAGAAAATTTAACATGGCCTATAATGAATACAACCTGAGAGACAACTTGGCTAGATATGATGAAATATCTTTCAGCAATGCCTTCTGAAGACAAAAAAATATTTGGATCAAGAAGAACCTATGATGGGTGCAGGTGAACATTTGGCATAGGAGCAGTCATGGGCTGAAGTTGAATCCAAACCCGCTGACACTATTCCAAGTGATGTGATGCTGCTATAACTCTCAGGAAACTTCCAGTAACCCAGAGGTGATTATCAGAAGTGATGATGAAGATACTTAAGAATCTATGGAAATGGAGCAACAGGAACAAATATTTTAGAACAAGATTACAACCTCCCCAATAAAGTAGTTATAAGTGACACTTTTACATGTCAAACTTTACCTATAAAGAGGTGCTATGATGCCTTCAAAAGATATCACATTAGACAGAAACCATCTTTCAGCAGGATTTAAATAATCAAATAGTGCCATTTAATATCATTGCTGGTAAGCTGATAAACTGCCTTCAGAAGTTTGAATGGTTTAATTGAACTATTTAAGGAGGTTATGAGTCTTTTGACAACACCTTACTGGGAAGAAAGCAACCTCAGAAGAGTATGAATTATCAAGTAATGTCATTTTTAAATATGATTTATTGATCATGCTATTACAGTTGTCCCATTTTACCCCTTCACTCCCCTCCACCCTGCACACCCACTCCCACCCACACCCCCCCTTTGGTTCATGTCCATGAGTCATACATGTAAGTTCTTTGGCTTCTACTTTTCCCATACTATTCCCACCCTCCCTAGGCTATTTTCTACCTGCCATCTATGCAACTTATTCTCTGTACCTTTCCCCCTCCCTCCCCCTCCAATTCCACTGTTGATAACCCTCCATGTGATCTCCATTTCTGTGATTCTGTTCCTGTTCTAGTTGTTTGCTTAGTTTGTTTTTGTTTTTGTTTTTGTTTTTATTTTAGGTGTGGTTGTTAATAATTGTGAGTTTGCTGTCATTTTACTGTGCACGTTTTTTATCTTCTTTTTCTTAGATAAGTCCCTTTAACATTTCATATAATAAGGGCTGGGCGATGATGAACTCCTTGAACTTGACCTTATCTGGGAAGCACATTATCTGCCCTTCCATTCTAAATTAAAGCTTTGCTGGATAGAGCAATCTTGGATGTAGGTCCTTGCCTTTCATGACTTGGAATACTACCTTCCATCCCCCTTCTTGCCTGTAAGGTCTCTTTTGAGAAATCAGCTGACAGTCTAATGGGCAGTCCTTTGTAGGTAACTGTCTCCTTATCTCTTGCTGCTTCTAGGATTCTCTCCTTCATTTTAATCTTGGCTAATGTAATTATGATGTGCCTTGCTGTGTTCCTCCTTGGTTCCAACTTCTTTGGGACTCTCTGAGCTTCCTAGATTTCCTGGAAGTCTATTTCCTTTGCCAGATTGGGGAAGTTCTCCTTTGTTATTTGCTCAAATGAGTTTTCCACTTGTTGCTCTTCCTCTTCTCCTTCTGGCACCCCTACGATTCAGATGTTGGAATGTTTAAAGATGTCCTGGGGGTTCCTAAGCCTCTCCTAATTTTTTTTTTGAATTCTTATTTCTTTATTCTTTTCAGTTTGGTTGTTTCTTTCTTCTTTCTGGTCCACTGTATTGATTTGAGTTCCAGTTTACTTCCCATCACTATTGGTTCCCTGTATATTTTCCTTTATTTCACTTAGCATAGCCTTCATTTCTCATCTAATTTTTGACCTAATTCAACCAGTTCTGTGAGCCTGCTGATCACCAGTGCTTTGAGCTGTGCATCTGATAGGATGGCTTCTCTTCATCACTTAGTTGTATTTTTTCTGGAGCTTTGATCTGTTCTTTCATTTGTGCCGAGTTTTTTTTTTTTTGTCTTGACATGCCTGTTACATAGTGAGGGGTGGAGCCTTAGGTGTCTGCCCAGGTGGGGCAACCCAGGTTGCTGCCTTGTGATGCTGTATGTGGGGGAGGGGTCTGAGAGGGAACAATGGCACTCGCTCTGCTCTCTGCTGGATTTTAGTCACTTTTGTTGCTTCCCTCAAGCAAACCAGGCCCTTCTGCTGCAGATTCCTGTGTGGGTAGGTTTTTGTACATTCTAGGACCCTGTGGGTGTCTCCACCAAATTTTCCTGTGAGGCTGGGAGTCTCTCCTGGCACCTCAACCCCCACAGGTGTTTTCAATTAGTGTCTTGAGGCTTTTCCCCCCACACTGGAACCCTGGTTTGTGAGGTCTGTCTCATTCCCCAGTTTCACCTGGTTTATCGGTACGCAAATGTGGAACTGCCCAGTCCTCCAGCTGCCTTGTGTGCAGTGCCACTCCACAATTCACTGCTTTGCTGGGTCCACCCGCTGTTGTCTTGTGTACCCAGATCTGCCAGCCACCATCTTTTTTTTGCCAAAACTCCTCTCCATGTGACTCGGCCTCTCCTACCAGTCTGAACGAATGTGTCTACTTTAATTCCTTGGTTGTCAGACTTCCATACAGTTCATTTTTTTTCAGTACTGATTGTTATTTTGTTTCTAAATTTTTGTTGTCCTTATTTTGGTTGTGCGAGGAGGCAGTGTGTCTACCCACACCTCCATCTTGGCCAGAAGTCTGAAGTAATGTCATTTAAATACCAGTGCAGAACAGCTGATAATCTGCCTTCAGGAAAAACTTGAATATTTTAATTTGAACTCTATACCAAAATGCTAAAGTGCCATGGGAAAAAACTTGAGAAGACAGAAATCATCTTCAGAAGAGTCAAAATCATTAAGTTGTACTACTTAAAATCACTTGATTGATAAGGTTAAAGCCATAAGCATGTTGTTATAATTTCAGGATTGGACTTAGATGACTCTGAGAGTATGGAGAACTATGATTTAAATTAAGAGTCCACCTCTCCTGGCTGGTGTAGCTCAGTGGATTGAGCATGGGCCTGTGAAGCAAAGGGTCGCTGGTTCGATTCCCAGTTAGGGCACATGCTTGGGTTGCAGGCCAGGTCCCCAGTAGGGGACACATGAGAGGCAACCACACACTGATGTTTCTCTCCCACTCCTTCTCCTTCCCTTCCCCTCTCTCTAAAAAAATAAAATAAAATAAAGTTATATATATATATATATATATATAT